ATTGATGGCTGGTCTAGTCCTCAGAATTTGTCAATTTGGAGTTTTGTAATATATACACCTGATCATAAGCAATATTTGTATGAATTACGTGATCTATCATCTGAAAGCCATACTGCACAATATATTGCAACCCAAATTGAAGAAATTATGAATAAAGTTGGCTCATTTAGGTTTTCTGCATTAGTATCAGATGGTGCCTCCAATGTGAGTGGTGCCAGGAAAATCATTACTGATAAATTTAAACACATTATTGACTTACGTTGTATAGCCCATTGTATCAATTTGGTGACCAAAGATATTATCCAACATAATTTTGCAAAAAGCCTAATTTCTAAATGCAAAATTGTTGTCAGATTTTTTAAAAGGTCTCATAGAGCAACCAATATATTGCAAGAAACCATCAATAAAAATAACATTATTGGTGGTGGTTTGAAGAAATATTGTGAGACATGTTGGACATCAGTTTATGATACAGTGGCATCTATCATAAGACTCAAACCATGCTTTGATTTAGTAAGTTATTTTTACAATTTTTTATTTATTTATTTTATTTAAATATTTATTTAAATTATAAATAGATTTTGAGAGAAAATGATGATTTGGTTACAAATGAAGTGAAGAATATTCTTAAATGAGGAACTTTTCTTGACAATTTAGAAGATTTGTCTCATTTATTAAAACAAATAAAAAATTCAATTGTAGAATTAGAATCAGATGGTTGTAATTTAGCTGATTGCTATTTCAACTTAGTTAAGTTGGCAGTAGCTATAAATTCAATTCCAAAAGAATATAACAAATCATTCCAAGACTATTGTATTTACAAGTATAATAAAAGATGGCAAGATTTTGAGTATGATGAATTTTTGTTGTGTTTTTTCCTACATCCAGCATATAAAGGTAATTAATCAATTGAAAATTAATATAGTGAATTATAAAAAAATAAATTATTATTATAATGATTGATTTAATATTTGATTAGGTAAAGGTATAAGAAGTGGTAATTTTAGAAGAATTGCAGAAACTGCAGCAAGATTATATCAAAATATGGGAAAATCCAAGACATCATGTGATGAGTTGATATCTCAACTTAGACATTACAAAATTGGCAATTGTCCATTTGATGCATCATATAATGAGAAAAATGATTTGCCATTAACTTGGTGGATGACATGTGAAGATGTTCATAATCACCTTCAAGATTTGGCAATTAAACTTTTTTCAGTAACCCCTCACAGTGTGGGGTGCAAAAGAATTTTTTCTAAGTTAAATTGGATATATGGCAATAAACGACAAAATTTGAATTTAGAAAAACTTGAAGATATATCCAAAATTCTCAGTTATTATCTTTCAAATACAAAAAAAGAAGTTCAAAACTTTGATCATTTACTTTCAGATAATGAACTTAAACAATTGATTATCAATTCAAGTGATGATGATTCAGATGTGGAAGATGTAGAGGATGTAGAAGAAAATGAAGATGAAGATGAATTGGAATGTAATTATGAAGAAGACTTGCTATTGGTTAATGATATTATGATATTAGATGATACAGTGTTTGCTGATAAAAATGATAATAATAGTAATGAAATTGATGAAGTTTATGATATTGAAACTCAAAATAATGATTTAAATTTTAACCCAAATAATTTAGTTTCAAGAATTTTGGATCATGACTTAGAAAATGAAAATAATAATATATTAGATACTGAGAATCATAGTACTGAATTTGGAGATGACAACCTTTGTTTTGAAAACCCATGTCAGGAAGATGTGTTTATAAGCGGAAGTAGAAGTTTACAGATTGAAAATAATGACAATTTTGAAAACAGAGTCAATCATTACTTAGAAAGTGAAGATTGTAATTTAGAAGATGGGAATAATGATGTGGAGACTGAAGATAATGTTAACATAAATAATGATAATTGCAATTTAAGCAATGTATCAAAAAAGAAAGAAAAGTCAAAGCTTATGTTAAAACAACATAATTTACATAGAAAAAATGTTGATAATGAAATTGTAAGAAATAAAAGACAGAAATTTAAATAATTGTTTGATAATATAAAAAAAATATATTTTAATAAAAATTAGATATGGTTTTTACTTTTAATTTTTTGTTTTGCCAATGACTTCAATAATTTTGATTTTCGTCAAGGGTTTTGACTTTTGTCAAGGGTTTTGACTTTTGTCAAGGGTTTAGTCTTTCGTCATTTTTTAGTGATTTGACGAAATAGTTTCTCAATTCCAAAAACATTTTGTCATACATCATTAATTAGCCCTACATGCCATATACCTCTACCTGATACCATGCCAAAACATAATAATGGAGTTATTAATATTCAAAACAATGATGAATGGTGCATACTTGGAGCCTTGCACCTGGTCAAAGTTCATCCAGAAAGAAATCCACACCAGATATATGCTAATTATGTAGATGAGCTAAACATGGAAGGGATTCCAATTCCGGTGCCAGTATCTACTCCTGTATACCAAAAATTTGAAGAAAATAATCCAAAAATTAGTCTTTGTGTGTATAAATGGTCTAATGAAAATAAACACCTTGAATTCAATTATATATCTGAAAGAAGAAGCTTGGAATTTAAGGAGGTAAATCTTCTGGTTATCTCAGAATCAGATGAAATAGAAAATTTGAGCTCACATTATTGTATTATTAAAGATCTCCATAGACTAGTTTATAATCATAGTAAGCATAAAGGTCGAAAATATCTCTGCTGATATTGTCTTCATGTATATTCCAGTGAAAAAGGATTAAATCAACACAAATGTTCAGGATTAAATGAAGCGCCACAGGAGCCAAAAATTCCAAAATTAGAAAGGAGCATCAAGACTTTCTATAACCATAAATACATGCAAACAAACCCCTACCGCATAATTTGGGATTTCAAATGTTTAACTACAAAATTAACTCCAGAAGAAGATGCTCAATTAACCCACACTGAAAAAATTCAGCAACATATACCTTGTGGATATAGTTATGTAATTATTTGTATGGACAGTTTTTGTAATTATGAAATTATAAGTTATGATTTATATAGAGGACCTGATGCATTAGAAAAATTTGTAGATAAATTGGAAATAGAGCTAGCAGAAATTCAGACAGATTTATCCACACCTGCAGAAATGGTTATGGAACCTGGGGACTATACAAGGCATAGAAAGGCAACAGAATGCTGGATATGCAAGAAAGATTTCCCAAACCAGAAAAAGGTTAAGATAATGGTATGTTGCCCTAATACTAAAAATTATGTAGGGGCATCTCATAGAGAGTGTAAAAATAAAAACAAAATAATTGGACCAAAATGGTATCAGCAATCAAGCATAGGAGATAACATAGCATTCAAAGAGGCTAAAGAATGCATGTATTGTAAAGAAAAGGATATGCTAGATATAGGGCTATCAAAAGTCTGGGATCATTGTATATTAGTGGTAAGTATAGAGGTCCTGCTCACAGCAATTGCAATAAAAAAATTACAAATGGGACCATTTAAAACCAAAGTACCTCTTATCTGTCATAATTTCCGTGGATATGATTCTCACTTGCTTATAGAGGTTGTTGGCAGATTTACTTCTAATAAGCTTAAATGTATTCCAGAAAATATAGGCAAATATAAAGCTATGGATGTAGGTCAATTGCGATTTTTAGATAGCATTCAGCATATGAATATGGGCCTTGATAAGCTTGTTGCATCTATGGGTAGCAATCTAGAAAAATTTCCCCTAACTATAAAGCATTTTACCGATAAAGGCTGTTCATTAGACCAAATCAAGTTTCTATTTCAAAAAGGAGTTTTTCCATATGACTGGACCAATTCTTGGGATAAATTCAAAAAAACAGCTCTACCACGCAGAAAGGATTTCTATTCTCTACTTAGCCAGCAAAACATTAGTAATGCAGACTATGTCTATGCCCAAGAAGTCTGGCAAAAATTCGAAATGAAAACTTTTGGCAAATATCATGATTTATATTTTGAAACAGATGTACTCCTACTTGCAGATGTTTTTATGAATTATACCATTATGTGTTTGAAAGATGATGGCTTGGACCCATCCCATTATGTTTCAGCCCCTGGTATGTTTAATGATTCCTTATACAAAAGTAGTGGGGCAGAAATAAAACTTCTGATAGACCTAGATCAATATATGTTAGTAGAGAGAGGCATTTGTGGGGGCATGTCTATGGTTAGTCATAAGGATACCGGCTGCAACTTTTGATGATGGTTGCTACCATCTTTGCGTCATATAAAAATGATTGCAACCACTGGTTGCAACCACCTTTACAACCATTTTGTTTCCTTTTTTGGATTGCGACATGGAACACTAGTTCATATATTTAACTAATGTTAGTGAAATTGATATAAAATTTGGGTCTTTCTTGGGCATTAAATAGACCAGTTGGCATAAAAAAATTGGTAAAAAATTGGTCTCTGTCCAAGAACCAATGTATATCTAAAAAAAAGCTCACATTGTCTTGCTTCTAAAAAACTTATTAATATCAATTTATTTTATTTTATTAATTTATTAATTTATTATCATTTATATTAAAATACAAATAAGTTTAAAAGATTATTTTGTTTTAAATTTTTTATCCATGAATCTAGGTTTGTTGTTGCTAATTTCTTGAGTCATAAATTTATTATATATTAATAAAATTAAATAAAGTTTTTAGAGTTTTTAAACTGATCCAACATAATAAACCCAATAATATCAACAATATCATAAAGAATGCACCAATAATTTCCTTTAAAAAATCCCATTCTGGTGTCAGGTGTGATCCATTCTCTCATCAATCCATCAATATCTTTATCATCTTCATTTCTATCATCCAAAGTATTTGCATGTATCATATATTCAATTAAATCTGCTGCTCTATACTTTCTTTTGCTGTTGATTCTAGCCAAAACTTTTAATCTTTAGAACTTTTTTCAATCTTTTTGTCATTTAACAATCTTTCTAATTTTTCAATAACTTCAGGCACATTAAATGATAATTTATTCTAACACTAAGAAATTCCAATCTTTCAGCATTTACATATTGATCAAATGCTAAGGGTAATGACAATACTGGCACTCCATAATATAATAATCCATAACAACTGCTTCGACCTACATGACTTAAAGTTACTTTAATATTTTCATGTGCTAAAAGTGCCATCTGTGGTACATGATTTACAATGTGAATATGTTTAGCCATTGTTGCATTTAACAAATCAAATTGTGGTAAATGTTCTTTAGGTGTTTGCCTAATGACCATATTATACCATCAATCATTTTTTTATCAATTGCTTCAGTGAATGCTTTTAATAAAATTTCATTATTTTCTTTTGTTGTGTGAAAAATTGTTCCAAATGTTACAAGTATTGTTTGAGGATGCTCTGATAAAAAGTTCACAAGTTCTGATGATAATGGGTGTATATAATCTGGTAAAATTGGACCAATATCCAAATAAAATGGAGATGAAGGTTATGGTACCTGTTATTATATATTAAAATAATATTTTAATTGCATTCATTATTATTACTATTGTGAATATTTTTAATATTAATTATATTTTAACCTCAAATCCATAAAAAGTACCAACCAAAAATAATGATTTTTTAATTCTTTCCAATGGATTAAATGTTGGTTCAACACCCAATTGTATTCTATATTGATTTAAATCATTTGAATGTGAATAAAATGTATAATATAAACTCAGTGATTTAAGTATTTCACATTTAAATCTATTCCAAAATGATTCATTTTCCATATAAGTTTTACATTCAATCATTGGATCAGAAATATATGGTGGATTAACAACTCCTAAAATCAAAATTATTATATAAAAATCAATGAAAATTAAAAATCCAATATTTATTTTTTACCCATAAAGTCAGTATTAAATGAAACCATTGGTATATTTAATTGATAAGCAACATCAAAACATGCAAAATTAAAGAGTGCTTCACAAAAAATCAGTCCAGGTTTAAGTTCAATTGTCTGCTAATAAATTTTATATAATTTAAGATAATCCTTATTTTCTAATTATTGAACTCCATATACTTCTTTCAAAGTTACAGTTCCTTTACAAATCTTTCGAAAATAGGATGTTTTTTTGGTGTACGTGCTGGTCCAGTGGAAATTTGTGAAATATTTGGATAATTAGGACTTAGTACATAACTTCCAGGTGCTAATAATGTAACCTTTTTTAATTTCAAAAATAATTTTTGAAATTAAAAAATCAACTGCAATAAAAAAAAATAATACTTGCATTAAATCCACATGTAGATAAAATTTGAGAAACATCCAACATGACTCCATCCTAAAATCAACAATTTAATAATAACAATAATAATAAAGATTATTATTATATTATTAATTTGATAAATGCACAATCAATTCAATAAATTTATTATCAACCTCCAAGTGCAGTTATAGCAATGATATTTTTAGGCAATTTGCTACGATTATAGATGGGCGTCTAAATTGTTTTTGGGGTTGTCTAAAGTCAATGATTTGCTTTAAATACAACTAAAAGTCACGTTTACATACTCAAAATCCACAAAGTTCAGTAAATTATTCAATAAAATTCAATTTCAGCATTTTAGACAATTGAGACCATGATTGTCTAAATGTCTAAATTAACTTATATTTTAGACATTGTCTGATAAACGTGGAATAGAATGCAGTGGTGGTGAAAATGAATGATATGTGTCTTCACCTTTATCATAATAATTTGCATCAACTCCAACTATTATTATTAATAATTATAGTAATAATGTAATGTTTATTTTAAAAAATACGATTTTTTAAAATCCATTTTTTGTTTATTTGGTTAACAATATATAAAAATACAATTTTAAGAAAAACCTTTTAAATTGAAGTTTCCTTTTTCATAGTAATATATATGTAAATGAGCATTCGACTAAACTATTTCGTTATGACAAAAATTGTTCGACTGAACCTAAATTATTTTTGATTTAACTAATACTAATTCGGGTTGGGATCAAATCAAAGAAACTTTCATCCCAAAAAATTAACAAATGATTGTGTATTTGCTTTATATGCTGTATTTTCCAAAGATTCACTTGCACCATCCTTTTTCGCAACAATATACATTTCTTTTTTTGGTCTCTTCTTTAATGCATTCACATTCATGTGCCAAATGGACTTGCAGTTTATTAACAACTCCGTTACTCCATTCACAAGTATATGCTTTGAATGATAACATTCAAAATGTTGCCAAGCTGCATTTTTTGGTCGCCCACCATATTTTTTTGAATTTGATGAACTATTTATATCTACATTATATATTTATATTGATTTAAACTAAGCCAATGATTTAATTAATTAATTGTCAGGACAATAATATCAAAATAGAGGAACTTTTGATAAAAACGTTGGTCACTTGTCATATGATCATAAAATCAGCTTAGGAGTTTCGAAAATAGTTTAGGAGTTTCGAAGTAGTTTTAGAGTTTCTAAACTAATTTAAAAAGGAAGTTAATTAGGCAACTCTAAACCGGATAATCGTTCACTGAATAATTAATAATGATCAAATGATTATTCATTGATAACGAAAAATTTTAAATTTATTAACCATTTTACATTCTATCAAAATTATAAAAAACCATAGTGGATAAGTTTTGTTCTTTTTGAATTTCCTGCTTGACTAAATAATCTCTCTCATTTGGAGCGGACGTTGCAGGTGCACACAAATGTTTAGGCAAAATCGGAGATCTATTTTTATGGATCATGTTTCAATATCCAACTTGACTTCTTAGAACCATCCTTTACTTTGTTTTTCTTCAAAATATGAGCAACAGAAGGCTCCTTCCTTCTTGTTATTGTATTATTACTTTTTCCTATTATAATGACTGAATGTTCTTCTCCCGTTTTAAATGAACGGGAGTGGAATAATTAATTTAATTAATTAGAAATGAACAAACAGATGGATTAAAACGAGAATTTATTTGAACATGAGGTATATGAGATACCGATTATCAATTATTCACTGAATATTCGCTTTTAATTTATTATATTCAATCAATGAAAAAATAAAATATCCAATCAGGGTGCCCGGTTCGAGAAAATTTTATCAAAAAAGTATCAAACCAAAAAAATTTCTTAAATAATAATATGTAGAGTTCTATTCAAATAAAGTTCATCCAATTTATTCGTCTTATTCGTTGTTATTATTATTATTATTATTATTATTATTATTATTATTATTATGAATTTGAGTATTCGAATTACATTGAAAGTTTATTTGAATAAAACAATATATTATTCACATTGCTAATCCAATCCAATAAAGTATTTTTTCTTTATCAACCTATTTTTCCTTCGTAGTCCTTGTATATAGTGATAATAATAATAAATAGTGGTAGCAGAAGTAATTAACCATTTTATTTTCTTTTTTAAGTCATAGTTAGAGATGTGACATTCATAGTAATCCTAATTTTTTTTTCGCGCATAGTGTGTGTTTCAAAAAAAACCGGAAAAATTAAATCAATCATTGTGGAACAACTACTGCATTGATTTGTATGAAAAATGGCCCATTCGATAGATTAAAAGCACAACTCTTTATTAGTTTTAATTAATAAACCAACATCTTGATTTTTTGATCAAATTAAACTAATTAGAAACAAATCAGGAATTAGA